CCTAGGCATACGGTGAAAGGGAGAGACACGGAGTTCTGCCTGGACTCCCTGCGGACAAAGAATACCCCCATCAACAATACAGCCCCCCCCGGGACGAACACTTTGAAGTTCCTCCAAAGACGAGCACAGGAGAGGGGAGTGAGAATGCGGGGAATCAGAAGGCAGAGACCTGGAGACCTGGTGTCCGCCTGAATACCGTTCCTATCAGCAATGGGGAAGAGCATGCGATAGGGAGGAGGGGGGATGATGAATTGAGAGACGGAGTAAGCACCCGATCACACAGCAAACAAATGGAACGGTGGAGAACTGTCGACACGAAGATTGCCAGGACGGAGGAGGAGGGCACAGACCCCCAAATATGCAACACCCGTATGAAAGTTACTCATGACAGTGGAAGAGTGAGAAGAAAGGGTGTGGAGCAGGGATTGAGAAAAGCGTGTGTGGGGGGGAGCATCAGTGAGCCCAGGGAAGCTTGTAACACTGATAGAGGAGAAACAGATGCCCCCAGGGTGGAAAATGAAAACAAAAAGGGGAGGAGGGTCAGTACTATGGAAGGAAATAAAGATAAAGGGGTGGTGGTGGAGATGAATGCCAGTAATGAGATAGTGGAAGGAACGATCCGGAAGAACCATAGAAGGAAGCATAAGGAGAGTAATAAAGAAACATCTGGAACACTAATTAACCGGCCGGGACCGGTGACGCGGTCCATGAGCCGACTGCAGATGCCGGCAAAACCCATTTAAGTCATCATTGTTTACTGGCTCCTTAGCCCTGATGATGTTTGGAGTTTCCAAACGAAAGCTTGGCAGCTTTTAGTAAAGTATATTTTTATATTTATACTCTCCTGGTGTTCGTATTTTATTTGTACCATATATATATATATATATATATATATAATATATATATATATATATATATATATATATATATATATGTTTTCTGAGGTTTTCGCGGGTATTTGTATATAGGTCTTTGGTTGTTCGGGTTTTCTCCCGCGTAAAAATTGGAAGTGTCTTGGCGACGTTTCGACGAAGTCTCATTCGTCATCTTCAGGCTGGTGCTTTCGGCTTCGTGTTTCTAGGAGCAAATGACACTCTAGAAACACGAAGCCGAAAGCACCAGCCTGAAGATGACGAATGAGACTTCGTCGAAACGTCGCCAAGACACTTCCAATTTTACGCGGGAGAAAACCCGAACAACCAAAGACCTACATACAAACACCCGCGAAAACCTCAGAAAACATATATATATATATATACACACACACATATACATACACATACATACATACATACATACATACATACATACATATATACATATATATATATTAGTTTCTCCAGTTTCTTCTTCAAATTGTGGTACTTCTCCAGTTTCTCATAATCCTTCTTCCTGATGTTGCTGTCACTTAGCAACACTATATCTATCATCTAATTTCCTTTCTCATTCCAGGTCATGGAATATGTATATGTATGTGTATATAAGTGTCTGTGTGTGTGTGTGTGTGTGTGTGTGTGTGTGTGTGTGTGTATAAATGTGTATGTGTGGTGTCTGTATTTGTCTATGTATACACAGAGAGAGATGTGTATGGATACACACACACACATACACACACAGTGCATTCAGAAAGTATTCAGACCCCCTTCACTTTTGTCAATTTTGTTATACTACAGCCGGATTCTAGTTGGTCAAAATTATATTTTTTCTCATTAATCTATACTCAGTACCCCATAATGACAAAGTGAAAACAGAATTTTAGAAATGTCTGCAAATTTATTAAAAAGAAAAAACTAAAATAACACATTGGCATAAATATTCAGACCTTTTGCAACAATACTTGAAATTTAGCTCAGGTGCCTCCCATTTCTCTTGATCATTGCAGACATGTTTCTACACCTTGACTGGTGTCAACCTGTGGTAAATTAAATTGATTGGACATGATTTGGAAAGGCACACACCTCTCTATAGAAGGCCTCACAGCTGACAATGCACACTGTAGCAGAGCAAAAGCCATGAGGGCAGAGGAACTGCCTGCAGAGCTCAGAAACAGGATTATTGCAAGGCACAGATCTGGGGACGGCTACAATAAAATTTCTGCGGCACTGAAGGTTCCTAAGAGCATAGTGGCCTCCATAATTCTCAAATGGAAGAAGTTTGGCACAACCAGGTCTCTTCCAAGAGCTGGTCACCTGGTCAAACTGAGCAATCAGGGAAGAAGGGCCTTAATAAGAGGTGACCAAGAACCCAATGATCATTCTGACTGAGCTCTGGGGATCCTGTGTGGAGATGAGACAGAGTTCCAGAAGGACAACCATCATTGCAGCCCTCTACTGAGCTTTATGGCAGAGTGGCTAGATAATAGCCTCTTCTCAATTCAAAACACATGAAAGCCCACTTGGAGTTTGCAAAAAAGCACTTGAAGGATTCTCAGACTGTGAGGAACAAGATTCTGTGGTCTGATGAAACCAAGAATAACATTCTAAATGTTATGTCTGGAGGAAACCAGGCACTTCTCATCACTTACCCAATGCCAACCCAATAGTGAAGCATGGTGGTGGCAGCATGGTTTTTCAGCAGCAAGGATTGGGAGACTGGTCAGGGTTGAGGGAAAGCTGAATGGAGCAAAGTACAGGGATATCCTTAATGAAAACCTGTTCCACATCGCTCAAGACCTCAGACTGAGCTGAAGGTTCACTTTCCAACATGACAACAATCCTAAGCACACAGCCAAGACAACACAAGAGTGGCTCAGGGACAACTCTGTGAATATCCTAGAGTGACCAAGCCCTGACGTGAACCCTACTGAACATCTCTGGAGGGGCCTGAAAATGGCTGTCCACCGACGATCACCATCCAATCTGACTGAGCTTGATAGGATTTGCAAGGAAGAATGACAGAAAATCCCCCAATTCAAGTCTGCAAAGCTTGTTGTTTCACACCCTAAAGACTTGAGGCTGTAATTGCTGCCAAAGGCGCTTTAATAAAATACTGAGTGAAGGGTCTGAACACTTATGCCAATGTAATATTTCCATTTTAAAAAAAATACATTTACAGACATTTCTTAAATTCTGTTTTCACTTTGTCATTATGGGGTACTGAGTGTAGATTAATGAGAAAAAATATACATAGACATACATACATACAGGTATGTCTATATTTCAGCATAAGTTTACATTCTATCTAATATTTATTCAAATCCAGCATTTTGAAACCATAATTCTCCTGTTCTCTCCCCTCCCCCGGGCCCCTCAATACACTTCTTCTTAACCAAGTCAGTCAGTAAATCAAAGCAGGATCAGTTTCAAAGTTCAGGACACTATTGGACAAAATATCAAGCCTACTTCTTAATAATTCTCACCATTCTATATTTCCTTTTTCGCTACTTTCGGACCAAATCCACACCACTGCATAGTGAATGCAGGTAGTCCTTGACCTATTATCATTTGTTTAATGGCAGAACAGATTTATAACAATCTTGGGAAGTTGCTTTGCAGCCCTTAAATAATTTCTGGCTTCCAGAAAACATTGTACGACTAGCCGCACAGTCATGTGATTTGATCTGGGTGCTTGGCAATCTGATCATACTAATGATCAGTTGCCAAGCATCCCACAATTACATGATCACCATTTCCAATCTTCTCTGCTGGCTTTTCCTGAAAGTCAATGGGGAAGCTGGCAAGAAAGGTTGCAAACTGTTGCTGCCTGGCTGAAGAATTCCCTCTCAGCAATGAGCCTGGCTGAAAGAGCTAACTCCCAAGGAGAGCTGAACTGCTTCCGTAGGATGCAAGAACAGAAAGGAACATCTTCCTGCCCCCGCTGAAGTTGTTCCTTTCCATGCACAGAAAGCAGCAGAATTTTTTTTGCCAGATATCTCCTTCAGCCAAGCAGAGAAAAAAGAAGCAGAATGGTATGGAATGAGTATGGGAGCCTCAGAGATATGTGGGAAGCCCCAGGAGGCCCAGTGCATGTGTGAGCTGAAAATCCTTCTTGGATTTTAATGGGAAGATTTTCAGCTGAGCAAAATTGAAGATCTGCCACATAACTCTTAGGCATCCTAAGCTCCATACCTGGGACTTCATCTGCTTAACAGCCTGGAAGATCATTTAACAACCATACCAAGAGTGGTGGAAATACAGTCATTGAGTAAAGCAATTATAAGAGTGTCTTAATGACTGTTTCACTGAATGACCAAGATTCCAGTTCCAACTGTGGTCACAAGTTTAGGATTTTTTGTACAAGGTCACAGAAAGTAAACACCAGACAGAAAGAGGTAATAGAAATTAAAAGGCCATAATCCCTTTTATCACTGCTAGTGTTTCTTCTCTTTACCATTGCTAACATATTCACAGGGCAATAGCAAGGAAAAACAGGAGCACATTAAGGAACTTCTTATGGATGTAGGCCATTGCAAATCCCTAACTATGACTCAAGGAAAGATGACATATTTTTAAATAGAAATGCTGACTTAAGATCATTAGTAATTCTATGATTAAATTTACAAAATATCTGAATGGTATCATCATTGCTCTTACCTTACTTCTAAACCAGAGTTCCCCAATCTTTCTGGCTTTGTGGACTGGTGAGGGGAGGAGAAGGGATGGTTCTGCGCAACCAGCAGGCAAGCACCCACACATGTAGGCAGCTCCATTTGCAAGAGCAGTGGGCATGCATGTATGCTGCTCGCATAAATGGAACATGCGGGCACAAGCATGTGGGCAGAAGTGGGGTTGTGCAGATAAGCTCAACTGCCACTTCCATAGGCTGGTTCCAAACAGCTCAAAGCCCAGTAGTGGGTTGCGCCCCGCAGATTGGGGACTCCTGTTCTAAACAACAGTATTTATATCTAATGTTTATTTTCCAGAGTATAATATAAGCAATTTAAATCACTCAAATGTTTCTGTAAATTTTTAGAATCATTCCTGTATACCAATCTGCAACACTATGTCTATATTACATAATTTATGCAATGGTTTAGATAACTTTATTAAACATGCTAATACCTTTATCATCACAGAAGGAATCACCTCTGCTTTAATTTCACTGTCAATAGTTTGCTGTAAGCAAAACATAATGAACTCATTAGTCAGGAAAAATTATTCTATTAGATGACTACATTTGAAATAATGAAACAAGACAGGATTAAGTTAAATAAAACTTTCAAAACTTAAAAAGCAAAAATATGACAGTTAATTTCTAAAATATACCACCATATTTCTTTTTAATGCTAGATTTGTCTCATAGCCAAGCCAAAGCTAAATGTAACTGATGGCCAATTTAATATTTCAAAATAGTACTTTTTATAAATTAACTTTTGAAATATTATATAAAAAGGTAAAATAAAGTAATTAAAATGTATAATTTTGAATATATTTCAAATCTAATTTACTCATTTTAGCATATAAATTAGGATGAAAGAGCCAGTGATTCATTTCAAACGCCACTGCAGCCCTTCATTATGAAAGTGTATTTTATATTTTGGATAGACATCTGAATTGACTAATTATAATTCCACACATTTATCATTAGAAAGTGTTGTTTTTATGATCAAGGATTCAAAATATAAAGCCAAGTGCTGACTGAATAGAAAACAAAAATAAACTAGCATCTCTAAACCTGAGTTTGTCTTTTGCAAATTCTACACTGTAGTCAGTATAAACCATAGCTTTGCATAACATCTGAATTGGGACAGTGTTTAAAGACAGCAGAAAGAACAGCTGATAGATTAACAGGCAATTTATAGCCTTTGGTGGAAACTTGAATTTAGATAGGGCTTCTAAAGCAGGGAGCAGCTGCCACTGAATTAAACTATATTGTATAAATCTTGATTATAGTTTATTATTCAAAGTCATTTTCTTCTGGTTAGAATTGTAGCCATAGTTGAAAACTCTGCCAGCCATATCAAAATGGTACAGGCATAAGCAAACTAGGTCCTAATCATTCTCCCACATTAGAGCATTTATGAACTTTATATCAGAACTTTATATTTTAGTTTGCTGCATCTACTGTGATGCTTAAAAATTTGGGAACCCTTTTGAATTCTCAATATTTCTGCACAAATATGACCTAAAACATGATATTTTCTAATTCTAGTCCTAAAACTAAAGAAAACCTAATTAAACAAATAAATAAAAAACAATATACTTGCTTATTTATTTATTGAGGGAAATGATGCAAAAAACGTATTTGCAAAAGTGTATGCTCTTGCTAGTTATCACACACCCTACAGGTATAGTGAGCTAGCCAAAAAAGGACATGGAATCAGCCAATGAGAAGACCTGGAGGGTTTCACCCCAAATCTAACACCCACAGACTATACATCAGAAGGAAAGATGGTAGTCAGGATCTGGTGAGTGTCAAAGCCATTGCCATGGATGCCAGGTACTGACCAATCAACCCAATATCATGATAGTAGACAAAGACCAGAAAACAACAGTGATGATAGATGTAATGATGCCAAATGATAGCAACATCAGGAAAAAGGAGTATGAGAAACTGGATGAGATGAGATAAGATGATAAGATAATATGGAGTCACTTTCCTGCCTTAGGAGTTACTGTCCCAAGTGTTCCTACTGTCCTGAGTGCTCTCCAGTGTTAGACATACTGACATTTTTGTTGGTACAATGCAGAATTCATAGCTCCATCACTTACAGTAAGCTGTTGTGGTCAGAAGCAACAAAGTAAGTCCAAAATGTGATATTGCCATCATCATGTTTCACAGATAGAATAAAGTTCTAATGCGGGAATGCAGTGTTTGTCTTTTGCTAATTGTTCAGTGTTCTCCTAAATGCTCATGGACACTGACATCCATGAATGCAAGAGAGGCCTTTAGACATTACCTTAGCTTCTTTGAGATTCCCCAGAATATCACATGCCTTTTCTCTTGGTATGGTCTTGTTGAGTATATAAGGTACTGAACTGCCTCCATTTGTACAAAATCTGCCTGACGGTGGACTGGTGGAGTCCAAATTCTTTGGAAATAATTTTGCAAGATTTCCAGCCTGGTATGTATCGATACTTCTTTTCAGTCACCCTCAGAAATCTTTCTCCAACCTATGACACATTTCCATTTAACTGTATTGGGAAGATCATACTTTGATACTGAATATTCAGAATTCTGTTCTTTAAGGCAAAATCTCCCACACTCACACCTAATTATCATCATCATTTTGTTTCATTTGTTTAATTGAGTTTTCTTTATCTAGTTTTAGGATTTATAGAAAAAACAGATAACATTTTATGTTATACTTATACAGAAATATCGAAAATTCAAAAGGGTTCACAAACTTTTACCATTGTATCTCTTTATCAACTTGCCATTTGAACAGAATCTTTTAACTGAATATATCAATCAATCAATCTTTTATTATGGCAACAGGCCAGAATTAAAAAGTAAAACATTAAAATAAAATGAAACCCAATAGAACAAGATATAATACCACATTACAGTTATGGTAAGATCATCAATGGGTGGCCAAATTCTGTGTAATTTTACAGATAATATACTAGAATTAGCTATGGTCACACTGATCCGATTGTAACAACTATATATAAAAGAGATCAGAATTCACAAAATCAAAATTTTAGTTTTGCTATGGGTGATTTGTATAGTAATATTTTTGCCACAGTTAGATGAACAAATGAAAACCTTTCCCCTGCCTTATGTAGCTGAGGATGGGACAACCCCCCCCCCCCCGTCAGTCAATAAAGTATGATTCCACCTACAACTAGCTGCTTTTTCACAATATTTTTCTTCAAACTTCAGTAGATGGAAAAAACAGATCCATTCAGTGGTAAAGGCATCATAAACATCTCAGGACTACCCACTTTGGGACTGCAGCTTCACTAAATATATTTTGATCTTAAACATCTAAATAGAAACTGTTATGCTTTAAGAACAGTGGTTCTCAACCTGTGGGTCGGGACCCCATTTGGGGTCAAACGACCATTTCACGGGGGTCGCCAAACAATGCAGTCCGCCATTTTTTCCCTCTTTTCTTTAACTGTGCTACTCCCTTTTATTCTATTGGCTTTCAAAAGCCAATAGGAATTGTCCAGGCTGTCTCTGCCCTGCTGAGCCTGCCAAAAGTCCCATTCTGCAAATGGTGCTGCACCAGTTGAGTAGTCCTTGACTTACAACCGGTTGAGTAGTCCTCGACTTATGACCAGTTGGGGGTCGCGGCATTAAAAAGGTTGAGAACCACTGCTTTAAGAATATATGTCACTATATACAAATCTAAAAGCACAGTTAATTCTATACACAAATGAGTATAGAATATTTATATAGACAAATTAAATACTTATACACACATTTATTATCTAAATAATTAACATGTTTTTGAAACCTGTAATTCAGTGCTTCCCAAATGTTTTTTTTCATTATCCAAAACTGCTTATCAAAAAGTTCTTTTTGCCCAACATATGTAAAGCAGTTTAAGTCAATTGAAATGTCCCTGTTGTGATTGATTAATGGGTTTCTGTGTAAGTATCCAAAGCAAAACAACTTTTACCTAATTTGGAATAATTTACCCAGATTTGAGAAGCACTGTTGTAATTGTTATATCTAAATTCACCATTCAAATTTACATACAGAAACTGAATCCAGATCAGGCAAGACTGTCACACCAAGTGCAAAATCTTCACTTTTTTCAGACTTAGGCAAGATATCTAAAAAATTTAAGGAATTAGCAAATTTAAGTAATTATTCCAATAAAAATAATCCAAACCAGTTATACATTTACAAGATGTGGAACTTCAATTTAAGATTAAGTGCATGTATTCATGACACATATACAATATCCTAGTTGCCTAAAACAGTGGTCCCCAACCTTTCTGGCCCAGCAGCGGTGGGGGGTGGAGGAGATAGTTCCTTTTGAGTGGTAGGCAGGTGTGTGCAAGCGTGCACTGCTCCATTTGTACAAGCTCATGCCTCTCGTGTAAAGGGAGCTTCATGCACAAATGTAAGTGGCCATTGCTTATGCAAGGGGAGCTTCGCACGCAAGGCACCACTTGCATGAGGGGAGCTTTACATGCGGGGCTAGCAGCTGCTGCTCACATGAAGAGTGCTTCATGCACAAGTACAAAAGACCACTGCTCAAGTCAAGATGGCCACCACTCGCATAAGGGGAGCTTCGTGCATGAGAGCAAGCAGCCATCATTCACTCAAGGGGAGCTTCACGTGTGAGCGAAAGCAGCCACCACTCGCTTGAGGGGAGCATCGCACATATACATGCACTTGCCCACCATCCACACAGATATACTGAATATACTGTGGCCTGGAAGGGGTCAGGACCCAGGGATTGGGTACCCTTAACCTAAAAGAAAGGTGAATATAGCTTGGCTGAAGGTAGCAAACCTATTCCCATCTTTTCAGTTTCAACTTTATCTGAAAGTAGGCACATTTGAAGAATATGACACACTGGAAAACATCCATTTAGACTACCTTCACTATTTAAAATGAAAATTACCTTTAATTTTCCTGGCTTCTTTAATAATTTTCTGGAGTTTATTCATTTCTGCATCATATTCTGCATAATTAATATTCCTAGCTTCAACTTTAGGAGCTTGAAATAAAGAAGGATCAGTACCAAGGTAAGAACATTGTAGATAGCCACTATCATTCAGTGTAACAATCACACCTTTCAAATTTCTGCAAAGGAAAAAAGAGATTATCATATTGTAACACTATAAAGACAATGTTTATTACTATTCAGTTAAGAAATACTTATTTTCTTAAAACAGTATAAACATGTAAAGAAGAAATATTGGAATAAATTAAAAATGCTACTAATTATTATTATCCAATTATTTGGATGCTTTAAGCAACTCATTTTGATGTATTAATAAATATTCTTTTCTCAAACTAAAGATAATATCATGCTGCAGTAATAACTGCAATATATAAAAATTAATAATGTTACAACTCTTAAGAATAGCAGGAGACTCTTATCTTTGGTTTGCAACTACTGTTTGATTAATTTTGAATATTCTTCCAGGGGGCTAAAACAATATTTAATGGCTATTATAGTTTCCTCCAAGACAATTCACTTGCAAAAAGGAGTCAAACACATTTCACTTCAACTATTAATTATGATTTTAAATAGTTAATGTCCACATTTTTATTTCCTAATTCCAGTTTGAAATACTGAATTAAAAAGATTTTGGCACCAAATATTATCAACTATTAAACATTTCTAAACACTTCTGTCAGGTCCTATCTTGTTTCGAGAAATCTAACTACCACTCCACTCAATTAACATCTTTGCTTAAGCTACTAAAAATAATAGTGAAGGATAAACTTTACAGCACAGAAAAATTTAAATGGATCTTCTGACTTTTTAAAAAAAAAAACTTGCTGCTAATTTATCTGTATAAAAGCTATAGTGGAAAGATATTGGTTCCCTCAAGAGGGTTTTTAAAAAAAAAAAAATAGAAGTTCACTTGAAGTTCTATTTGTTTGTGTGAATAAAATAAATATACCTGTAGTCCTTATTCAGTTATGAGACAAATAGCAATTGAAAGATGTAACTAAAAGAGGATCATTATAAAAAATTGACAAGTCACCATGAATACACAGTAAGAAAAAAGAGAAGTCAAATGATCCATATATCTACACATTGTCCCTTAGCTAGATATTCTAAGTTAGTATTTTTCAACCAATATACTTTTTCAAAGGTGCTACCATCCATGCTGTACTTTAAAACTATAAGTATATGAAAGCAAATTGTAGACTATATTCAATACATCAAAATTAAATAACATTGACTCTTCCATGATGATAATAAAATGAATCCATTCAAAAAGTGTGTTATATGAGTGTGGGCATCCATGTGTTCAGCTAGGTCATTAATAAAAAAGTCTTCTCCAAAGGATAGCAGCAATATTTGGTTAACAATGTTGGGTAAACACTAAGGTGCTGCAGTAAGACAGGAAAGATACATATTCAACTCTACCCTCAGCTATGGAAGCTCACTTGGGCTAATTACTCTCAATCCAACCAGCCTCCAGAATTATTGCTATAAGATAAATATCAGAAAAAGGAATGTAATGTATACTACTTTTAACTCCTTAAAAAAATAAAACAAAAATATGTTATGGTTATCAGTGTTATTCACAACACTAAAACATATATTGTAACAAAATTATTTCAATAAATTAATTGAACTGAAAGAAAGACAGTGTGACATGTATAATTCAAATAGTAACAAATTTATAATGGTATAAACTTTCTCTGATTCATCTGATCAAGCAATACAGCTGAACAAGCAATAAGCGCCAGTCATGAACAATTAAATTAAAATCAGATTTTACTCTAGAAAATATATACACAGACACACATTCATACACAATTATAAGCTAAAATTATGCTAAGGTTACATACAGTAATTTCCCCAGTCGTACTGCCACAGGAATATGAGGAAGCTGAGTTGCCCATTTTAGAGTCATGTCTTGATAAATATGTAAGATGCTGTTGTGATTTCCAATCAGTGTGTTTATGGCAGTCCCAGACACTACAAAATATGTAAAGAGTTTGGGAAAGATGTTATTTTCATATTCCTCTTAGCTATTTTTTTTCTTTTAAGAGACATTCTTATACATTACACCAATACCGGTATATATGAAATAAATATACAAATAAGGAGATCTCCTAGAAATGTCAAGATTATATTGTTGCAAATAAGATCAAATTTTGTGAGGCTATTGTAGTCTCACATAATAAATTTGAAAGGAATATTAAAATATATTTGTAACAAAAAGTTTGGAGAATGAGATATGATACAATTTTTGTAATAAAAAGTATAATTACTTGGCTTCAATTTAAGAATTTAACCCCCCTACTCAGAATGGATAAAATATATTACTAAAAGAAATGTAGAACATTATAATCAAATACAACCTACCTTATATATAATAACCCTTAAATAATAAATGGTCTGCTTTAGTATTCCATTTAACAATTTATTTAGTTGCTGTAAGTGACCAGGAATTTTGTACATGCAAGTAAATAATAAAGGCAGGATGGTGGGATGGGATGGGATGGGATGGGATGGGATAGGATAGGATAGGATTCGATTAAGGTAGGGGTAGGGATAGGGATAGAAATAGACAAGATAGAGGCCTACTTCTATAGTTCAAAGCTAATACATATTTGTAGATTATAATGTAATGAATTTACAGAATATATGTATGTACTCAAAAAGCACTGAAAGTTAAAGGTATTGTTACAGAGATATATTTACAATTGTATAATCTTGATTGACCATGCTAGAATTAAAACTTGTAAAACTGCTTCGTTAAAATGCTAGTCATTGCTTTTATTCACAAACCTGAGTATGGAAGAAAGCAACTTGGGCTGTGGTCAAGCTTTTTAATGAACCGAATTTGTCCATTATCCTTAAGGCAAAAAAAATTTCTCTCCCCAAGAACAAATATGCAGGAAATAAGCTGATTAAATGAAACAACACATATGTCCAGGGCTTGTTCCCCAATGTTTGAAATCCAGTCCACCTTAAACACATGGAGAGACACAAGTTACAACAGTGTGGAGTACATGTTAACGGTAGCTTTAAATTCACTTCAATTAAAATTATTTTTCAACCTGTGATAAATGCCATATAGCAAAGCCATACACTAATTTCAGTATATTTCATTGTTTAAGAAAAGGAGTAAGTTTCATAAACCAGAAGACTGGTTTCACATTATAAGGTGAGAGACTAATCTGTTCCTAGTCTATAAAATTGCCTATTATAAGAAATGTTTTTAAAATATTGCATTTTAGTTCTGTTTGATTTCTCCTTGTTTTAACTGCTCTTTAGTTTCAATCAGGTAAGCCCTGCTCCCAAAACAAAAAAGTATGTGGTAAAATACATGCCAGGATGATATTAAATTATACAAAAGACATGCAACAATGCAAATCAAAGAAAATATAATGACCTTGTACATATAACATGAAATAAAACTTTTGCTTACTTTTTCCATAGTATTCAAAATTTCAACAGATCCTTTTAAAATTATGTCAAGTATAAAAATATAACCACTTGTTTTCCGCTATTGATATGGAGGATCTCTTTTTACAAAAACCAGCACAGACCCCATGACTGAATTGAGGATTGTGACTATATAAATTAAGTTATAGTACAATCTCCTGCACATCTGTGTGCAAAAAACTTTATTAAGCTCAACTGGATTATTCCCAGGAAAGGTTTAGGGCTAGAGTTAAGATATGTAGTTAAGTGTAGTTAAGCAATAGCATTGATTATTTATACCAGAAAAGGCAATAAGCTACTTGCAACTCTCCAGCTGTACAATATTATAAATCCCTGCTGCACTCCAATACTGCATTACACAAAATTGGCAGTAAAACAATTATTGTTGGTGTTGTATTTGCATTTTTGTTGAAATTAAATATATGTATGCATGCATGTGTATTATATTTCATATTTTAAAATGTATTTTATATATTTATAAATATATGTATATAAAAATTATATATATAAAATTTTATACACACACACACATACATACATACATATGTGCGCGCATGCGTGCGTGTGTATGTGTGTATTCTGAGGTTTTCGTGGGTGTTTGTATGTAGGTCTTTGGTTATTCGAGTTTTCTCCCGCGTAAAATTGGAAGTGTCTTGGTGACGTTTCGACGAAGTCCCATTCGTCATCTTCAGGCTGGTGTTTTCGGCTTCGTGTTTCTAGGATCACACATTGCTCCTAGAAGCACGAAGCTGAAAATACCAGCCTGAAGATGATGAATGGGACTTCGTCGAAACGTTGCGAAGACACTTCCAATTTTACGCGGGAGAAAACCTGAATAACCAAAGATAGATAGATAGATAGATAGATAGATAGATGGATAGATACACAATCAGAGCACCGCCAAGCTCTTAACCAATCAGAACACACACCTCCACCCAATCAGAACACAGCCAGGCTCTCACCCAATCAGTTCATACCCCTACTGGCAGTTAAAAGGAAGAAACAGCTACGATCACACATTGCTCCTAGAAGCACGAAGCCAAAAACACCAGCCTGAAGATGATGAATGAGACTTTGTCGAAACGTCGGCAAGACACTTCCAATTTGACGCGGGAGAAACCCTGAATAACCAAAGACCTACATACAAACACCCGCGAAAACCTCAGAATATATCTGTGTGTGTGTGTGTGTGTGTGTGTGTGTGTGTGTGTGTGATTACTTTAAATATCTGTATTCATTTAAAAATTATGAGACTGTTAGAATGTTGATCTCCGGGATAAAATCTTTTATTTTACACTAGCTTTTGTCAACATTCTAACAATCTCTAATAATTTTATATATAGTCATTAAGAGAACCCAGTTTGCTATGGGCCAGGTTTTGCCATAAACTGGAAATATGCTCCTATTTTCCACAAGACCATCATAAATTGTGATAACGTTACCTCGGGATGCTGCAAAAAGCTATAAATAGGAACAAGTTGTGAAGCTGGTGAAGATGTAGAAAGGTAAGGCCATCAGAATTTTGGGACCAGGTTGTAAGTAACTTTGGAGGTCTGTTGTAACTTTGTAACTTTGAATGATAAATAAGCAACCAGTAGTGAGTTGAAGACTACCTGTATATATATTGAATCTTTGTTATCTTAAGATAGTTGTTTTGCATTAATTCCTGTACATAAAAATGAGTTCAAAATCAAAAAAATTAGTTCTACTCTTCATATAACACTCATGCCCCTTCTGCTCTCAGTTAATTTTAATTAAGTTGCATACTGAATATATAGCTTAATTTACCACAAGTCTTTTTCCAGATCCAATTTTTTGTTGCTCAGTTTCTTGTATTTCAGCATCTTTTGCTAATGCAAGTACTTGATACCTGTAGTTTAAACAATATATATATATATATATGTATATTTTCACAACAGAAATTTTATACTAGAATATATAGAAAAAGAACACTAAACAATATTGTTTCACTTGTCTGTGTTTGCAAATTCCAACCTTAATCGTCGCCAAGGTACACCTGTCTAAAGACAAGTGCCTATAGGAGTTCTGTGAATGCACTGATGACTATTGGAATAATTATAATGAAGCAGCCTGTACTCTATGGAATTTGTATATTAAGTACAAATGACCAATTAGTAGATCTTTTGACAAGTAATTAAAAAGTTGCCTAGAAGAAACTGCAAGACAACACAGCTCAACTAAAAGATGTTAGTTGTGCAGAGGCATCCAGATAATAATATCTTGGAAATGTGGATGGCTGCAACCACTTCACTATTTTATAAAGCCTAGGAGCAAAAAGACTTGGCACAAGGTCAGAGACTCTTCTGAAGTATACTGATCTACAAACTCATGGCACAGACTAAACACAATAATAATCAGTTGGGGGGGGGGATCTATTTGTCAGATGCAGTGCTTTTTTTGTAAAAAAAAAAAAAAAAAAGTGCCAGAACTCACACACGTTATACAACCTGCCTTGCCTACCCTACAAGGTTCCATCCCAAAAAGGTGCCAGAACTCCGTTCTGGGCGTTCTATGACAAAAAAAGCCCTGGTCAGATGTATACAAAACTACAGTTTTCCAAGGGTCAGGTTCAAAAAGAAGGTCTTCTTTCTGTTTTGACTTCAATATTCACATTCTTCTATGAACAGGAACAATATGCAGGACTTTCCTGCTGAAGAGATGCTTTTGCACAAAGAAAGCTATTTCAAAAGCCATTTAGCATTATCCCTTATGTTCCTATGAAACAAAAATTTGAACATAAAAGCTCTTGAGTGGCTAGCTATTTGCTGCCAATGTATCTGGTTTCACGAAGAAAATAAACCAAAACCTCCTAATCACTGCTGGCATGAGAACAAGTGAACAACTGAGTGGAGTTCATGCACATGTTCTTAGCAGCATTCTTCAATTTTAAACTCTGATCATGTAATCATCTATTTATACTTAATGTGAAACAACATTCCTGGAAAAACTGAGGAGATACCAAATCTACCTAAAAATTTGATTATATGGTCAAAATCTGGAACACAGGGCTTGAATATGAATTAACTAAAATAACAGGATAAGATAACGTTTATTTCTACTAATAATTTAACTCACAAGATTACATTATTAGTAGAATACAGATATACTTATGCAGCATTCACACTTGGAATTACAGTAAAACTACAACCACAGCCAATAAAACTACAACTATCAGCTATAATTCTAAAAGCCTCTAAAATTACTGAGTCTGAAGAAATCATTTAGGCCAAACGATTGCTGATTAATCTATCCCCAGCAAATGTTTTACTAATCTCTTGAATAATACATCCATTCTGAATAATTGATTATATTGTCATACTACTCTTACTGTTAAGAAAATATTTTCTAATATTCAATGAAATAATTCTTCTAGGAACTTAAATCCATAGCCAGCAATGATACAGAACATTGCTTAATCTATCTATAGTTTATATCACACCATTTCTGTTATTTGAAGGAGGCTGACATATTCCACCTTCACAAGTATATATATTCCCAATTCCCAATTCCTTCCTCTTTTAGGACTTAGCAGAGCTTCAATAACTCTTACTCTAAATTTAGCATCACTCAATTTAGTAACTAAATTTTTGTCTTCTAGGATTACAGTTATTTTGTCCCATTTGTAAATTTGGATAAACTTTCCTTTGTTTCCTTTTTTAGTCATTAGTGAAAATGATGAAAAATTCTGGGCTCAGGACTAAACTTTGTAAAATTCCACTCAATGCCTGGGCCAGTTTGATGAACAAATATTAGTGGCTTCTCATTTCTTAACATGATCTCTTTGAAGTACAATTTTCACACCCTCTATATATTTGTTATGGCCTCTGCATCACTTTTAAATAACTTGCTATCAGATTATCACAAGGCACCTTATCAAATGCTTAGCTAATATAAATATAATATTTATTAAATGTCACTTATGCTTTAGTCACTTTTGACAGGATTATTGCAATGTCCATTACATAGGACATGCTTGAAAAGCACTAAGATGACAAAGTTAGTCCAGAATGCAGTAACCTGAGTAGTTATGGATTATCAGAAGGCATTAATGCCTCTCAATATAATTCAGAGAACACCAAGGATCCCACATATAAAACTTCTATTTTGAAAATTGTGTTGGTTGCCCTTAGGTTTCAGGAAGCATTTGAAAGTGCTGGTTATCACCTATAACACACTTCATGGTTTAGGGTTTGGAAATCTTCAGGATGACTTTCTTTCAATAACATATATAATATACATATTGAACCTTGTAAAGCAGTGGTTCTCAACCTGTGGGCCACGACCCCATTTGGGGTCGAACGACCATTTCACGGGGGTCGCCAAACAATGCAGTCCGCCATTTTTTTCACCTTTTCCTTAGCTGTGCTACTCCCTTTTATTCTATTGGCTTTTGAAAGCCAATAGAATAGACTCTCTTGAATAGAGTCTAATTATATTGGCTTTCAAAAGCCAATAGGAATTGTCCAGGCTGTCTCTGCCCTGCTGAGCCCGCCAAAAGCTCCAGTCTGCAAACGGTGCTGCAAGTTGTCTGCAGCGAAGGCGAGCTGTCTGGAAGCTTCCACCCCTCCCTGCTAAGCAACTACTAAAAATGTAAGTAAAAGAGGGCCAGGGGTGGGAGGTTGGCGGGCGCAGGGAGGGTTGCTGGCGCACGTGGGGCCCGGCGAGTGCCTTACCTCCCTTGGGCTGGGCCACCTGGTGGCCCAGCTGGTTGTCACCCTGCGCCGTCGCTACCCCTTGCCAGCTACGCCTCAGCTGGCGCAGGGGGCGGCACCACGCATGCGCAACGCTCCCGGGCAGAGAAAGTCCTCAACTTACGACCGGTTGGGTAGTCCTCGACTTACAACCGGTTGGGTAGTCCTCGACTTACGACCGATTGCGGTCACGGCATTAAAAAGGTTGAGAACGTATTGTAGGGAAGGCTCTTTATATGCCCCTAAATCCGAGACTGCCATCTACAGAGGCAAGGAACTATGTTTTTTTATCATAAAATTACACTTTAGTAGCCTTGAGGGCCCCTCCCTCCTGATCTGCATATCTTAGAGACTTGGCTAATTCACTATGCCTCAGGGGGGTGGCTCTATAACTGCTCTACATATTTTTACTTTATGTAGGGGTAACATGCGCTTGCAGTATACTGCCGTGCTTTGCACCCCCACAAATCTCATAATTCTATACCCTTTTGCTCCTATGCCCTTTGCTCCAGTGAAACAGCCAAAAGGTCATGGAACACCCCTTGACTTAATGCCTCACGTACTGAAACAGATAATATGCTTAGTTCCTTCTTCTATCTTCCTGTCTTTGATCTTCCTGTCTTTATTTCTTATTTAGTTGTTGACCATATAATATGTAACTAGAAAATAGTTAGTTAGATGAATTTTCCTATGAATAAACTCTTGTCAGCATCTAATAATTAAGAAAGCTTGTGTATATAAAAAAAACATAAAAACAATAAACAAGACAGAGGTTGTCAGCAGCTTCAGCTTCTGCTCAAAACATGCCTGTGACTGTTTCTTAGCATTTTACATTTGGCGCCTGAACAAGGACACCCCCCCCCCCAGGGAAAGCAACAACCAACATACTTGCCGTCGTCTGGAATAGACCCCTTGGTGCACCTTCGTCCTCCGGGATTTCTCTAACTCTAAGTATGGGTTGCGATCTATCTCATCACCAACAAAAGCATGTAAGAGAGTTAAGGTTTCTCTTACACAAATAAGGCATGACGATGCCTGAAAAGGACATTAGGAAACTAGTGAGTTAGGGAAAAACTGTCCTTGGTATCCTGAACGGGGGACGCTCCGACTTAAAGATTGGGAAAGAATGGGCAACACCTTTCATCAAGAACCCCGAGCCTCGCTGATGTTTTGCATTGTTGGCATCAATGTTGCCACGCAGTGGAAAAATATGGGGCTGATGCAGTAGCTCGGTCTCAATTAAGCTTTACTCACTCTCCAGATTATGATCGTGAAAAGGTTTCATTTCCGTCAACTCTTATGCCTTCCATGATGGATGTGACACCTTCACAGCAAAAGGATTCTAGATCTTATGTTTCCATTCGCCATGTATTAGAAGATCAAATGGCGAAAGGGGAGGAAGATATGCAGGAACTAACAGATATGCTCTCAGTTTGTCCTGTACATTTGACTGGACAGGTAGCTCCAAATGGAGCTCCAGTGGTGGAATATCGACCACTTTCCTATGTAATCTTAACAAAATTGCATAAGGGTATAAGAGATACTGGGTTAGGAAGTACTTATGTACAAGGCATGTTAGAAGCAACAATGAGGAATCATGTTTTGGTACGGAAGATTGGAAAACAGCAATTCATGTGTTATTAACGCTAGCTCAGTATGTGGTATGGGATAGTGAGTTTAGACATCAGTGTGCATTAACAGCTGCAACTTCTGGAGGTGCTTACCTCCCAGAGCAGTTATATGGCTCCGGTGCTTTCACTCCAGTGAATGCACAAATTGTTTTGCCTACGGCTACTCTTCAAGTATCCTCTGAATGTGCTTACATAGCTTTTGGAAAAGTTCCGACAACTGGGAAACCATCTCAAGCATTTTCAAATATTCGTCAAAAGGCAAATGAAAAAAGACGATTTTATTAATCATCTGCAAGATGCCTTGAAATGACAAATTGATAATCCTGATGCCCAATTTGAATTGCTCATGAAATTGGCTAAAGAAAACACCACCACTGAATGTAAACGGGCCATCACTGAATTAGGAGCTCAACCTGATTTAGCAGAAATTATTAAAGCATGTCAGGATATAGGAAGTGCTTCTTTTCAAACTAATCTCTTAGCTGCAGCTCTTACAAAAGTTCAGAAACCTCAGGGGAAATGTTATAATTGTGGTAAAATTGGACACTTTAAATGGGAATGCAGAAATCCTGGGGGAGGAATATCTGCCTCCCAACCATTTCAAAATATTGCTGGGGGGCGTCCAAAAACAAAATGCCCTAAGTGTAATAAGGGTTTTCATTGGGCTAATGAATGCCGGTCGGGAAACTTCAAAGTGGGCTGGTCTCTGGCCCCGGTCCAAACAGAGACCCCTCAGTAATTCAATCAGCAATCAATAATACCCCTGCTGCCATTATAGGGAGTGCTGGAATAGATTTAATTATCCAACAAGAAGTGTGTTTCGAATTTCCAGGAGAGGTACAAGTAGTCCCTTCACAACTTTCTGGTCCTCTCCCCTCTGGATATGTTGGATTAATTCTGCCTCAATCTAGCATGGGAAAAAAGGGAATTTTTGTAATCCTTGGAGTAATTGATTCTGACTATGCAGGCATCATCTTTATTCAATTATGGACTAACATGCCACAGACTTTGCCAAACAATGCTAGTCCTGCTCAATTACTCCATTTGCCCTATTTTGTCCCTGCAGGGCATCATGATAGGGATCGAGGGGATGGTGGGTTTGGTTCCACGGATCCCGTTATAATTGCATTAACCACCCCGATCACCACCCAGCGACCCCGTCAGACAGTCCTTTTTCAGGGTAAGCCTTTTGAGGGCATAATTGATACAGGGGCTGATGTTTCAGTGATTTCAGCTAAAGATTGGCCTGCATCTTGGCCCACTGACCCATGCCCTAGTGTTTGGAGTACAGGAGGGCGACAAGGTGCACAACAAAGTACACAATTTCTTTCTGCAAGTCTTCCCAATTCTACTGTAACTGTTCAACTCTGTCCATTCATTCTTGACATTCATGTCAACTTATGGGAACGAGACTTGCTTAGTAAATGGGGGCTACCGTCACTTTCAACGAATAAAATGTTTTTCTTACCCTTAACTTGGTTAACTACTACACCTGTTTGGGTGGAACAATGGCTCAGCTTATACTTCCTTCCTACAATTTTGCACTACATGGAATATTCTTCTTCATCATAGCCTTCCCTATAATTCTACTGGCCAAGCTATTGTTGAACGAGCCAATCATTCATTTAAAGATTGTTTACTTAAACAATTAAAAAAGGAGGGATCAAGGGTACCTAATTTGGCATAGATGACTCGTCAAGTTAATAAAGTCTTAATAACTTTAAATCAGCTGAATATTTCTTTTCAAAACACTATTGCCTACCAGCATCACTTTCAGCAGAAAGCTGTGCTCCCTAATCCATTGGTATATTATTGGCAATTGTCTGATAAAACCTAGTTAGGTCCAGTTCCTTTATTAACTTGGGGACAAGGCTATGCTGCTGTGCTTGCTCCTACAGGCCCTCTCTGGATTCCAGCCTGGTGTGTGCAACCAGCCAAAGATATCGTAGCATCAAGTCCCAAACCCAATCCCGGAAATGAAGCAGGTGACTCTTCAGACAGCGCAGCGTCCCTTTCACTCTCACCATCGCAGTCGACCAACGGCCTGGGGCGATGTGAAGAACCTAACATCCAAAGTGCAGGAGGTTCTGTGGCAACAAGGGAAAGAACCTACACCAGAGAATTTATGTGCTGCCATATTTGCGGTTTTGAGTGCAAATTCCTTAGTCATTCTTTGCCTCTCTTTTCTTCTTAATTGCTGTGTGGGGACTCAAGCTCTTTCACTTCATCCTTTAGAATCACGGATTAAGTATATTATTTGGGTGCAATTAGCTAATGTCACACAAGTGACAGACTTTTGTCTTTCTGAATCACATGATACGGAAAATCTACTCTCTACCTGTCTTATACCTGTGTGTGTCCCAGCGTCAGTTTTAAAAAATTATACTGGTTTAAGCAATTTTCTATCAGACAATGAATTTCATTATGCAACTATGTCAAACTGGGGTCCTGCCTCTTATATGATACCCTTTGATGCTATTGTTTTGCATACACCAATTGTAGCTATTCCTACAAATCTTACTTGTGCAAAAATTGTCAATTGTACTACTTCACCAAAAAAACCTCATTATATACATGTCAGTCACGGGATTTTAAATTGTACCTCCTTTCAAGAGGTATCCTTTAATTATGCACATATATGGTTACAAAAAGGATGGTTCTTTACCTGCGGGAAAGAAACATTTAATTACATTCCTGCCAATGTAAGTATGACACAGTGTTGCCTTAGTAGACTCAACATGTTTTTGCCAACAAAAACGGAACTCAACATATCCAGTTCAAAATGTCACAGAAGATCAGTAGCCCTGGACGATACTTGTGATTCTTCTAGAACTCTCCTCAATGAAGCAGAGTATACTGCCTTAGCCATTTCATTAGTAGAGGTACCAGCACTTGCTGTTCGAGCTCATGTAAATTTAAATGCTCTTGCATGTAATTTAGCAAAAACCATAAATGTAACTTCCCTAGCTTTATCTGCCATTAATCAAGAGCTAATAGAACTTTGTAAAGCTATTTTACAAAATCATGCTGCAATTAATTATCTGTTGCTCCGACAACATCTGGGATGTGAAGCGCTCGAAAGAATATATTGTTTCAATCTTTCTGATCAATCTGACATTATTCAAAAGCAAATTAACGTTTTACATAATTTGGCTTCTGATTTAAAAATTGAAACTTTAGGAAACTGGTGGAGTTCTATGGTCATGGCTTCCCATTGGCCTTCTCCGAAAGATTATTCAATATTTCATTATAATAGTTGCTATCCTTATCAGTTGTTGTTGTTTAATTCAATGTCTTTTCTCTCTACTCAATAAGGTGTCTTTCCGTTCTCCGTACTAAACCACCATTAACTTTGCCTCAGGAACAGGTTTATGCTTTATATAAACAAATGCAAGGTTGTATGTCCCCTGATTAAGACCCACTACTTCAGCTTAGGATAATGCCCTAACTAATAAAGTAGAAAAGAGTGAGATGTAGGGGTAACATGTGCGTGCAGCATACTGCCGTGCTTTGCACCCCCACAAATCTCATAATTTTATGCCCTTTGCTCCAGTGAAGCAGCCAACTACATATACCCCTTGACTTAATGCCTCACATACCGAAACAGATAATACGCTTAGTTCCTTCTTCTATCTTCCTTTCTTTGATCTTCCTGTCTTTGTTCCTTATCTACTTGTTGGCCATATAATATGTAACTAGAAAATAGTTGGTTAGATGAAAGAATTTTCCAATGAATAAACTGTTGTCAGCATCTAATGATTAAGAAAGCTTGTGTATGTAAAAAGACTATAAAAGCAATAAACAAGACAGAGGTTGTCAGCAGCTTCAGCTTCTGCTCAAAACATGCCTGTGACTGTTTCTTAGCATTTTACAACTTTAGAATGTTTGATTCTTGATGTAAATATGGTGGTATTATGATATAATTTTTATTATGCATGTATTTCAATAATTATGAATACAAATTAAACACCACTCAGAGTCAATTGATCGGAGGATCCCTTAGTCTGATAAATAATTATTACACCTGCATAATTCCTACAAACTACTACATAAATTACCTGATCAAAAATGTGATAGAGTATATATGATAAGAAAATAAAACCATGCTGATTTCTGATTATTAACACATTGCTTTTAAAATCTACATCTTTTTAATCTGTTCTAGTACTGGTGTCAGACTGAAATCTCTATAGTTCTCTTTCCTCTGTTCCCTGAATATAAGGATCTTTGCCCTTCTCCAGTCATCTTGTACTTTATCAATTTCTTCATGATTTCTCAAAATACATAAACTAAACATTTGGTGAAGCCATCGACAAATTTCTTCAGTATCTAAAGATGCAATTAATCTGGTTCTGCAGAATTAAATTGAAAATAAGTACATACTCCTTGCTCTCTCTCAATGTCAATCCCTAGACTTAACCCTTCACTTTGCAATTTAGAAAAACTTTCTTCTCTAAAGGAAGGATTGGCAACAAGCTAAATATAGCTGGTAATAGAAAAGGACAGAACTATGTTGAACTAATATTTTAACAGTGTTTTGCTTATAGCCCTCTTTATTCACTATAAATAAGATGACCTCTGGAACTCTGGAAACCTCTACAGTAGAGAAAGGAAAATGTAGGAGATGTGCCTTCTACATATTCTGTAGACATATTCTTCCCATTACAAATTCTTTTGTCTTCAGAAGATTTCTAAAAGACATTATATGAAAATGCAAAATGATATCTATGATGCAAAAAAACTACAAAGAACCCCTAAAACTGAATGCGGCTTTCAGGCATTAAGGGATACTGAGAGTAGCAGGATATTTCATGGTACTCAATACTATTAGAATATTTGGATATAGCTCTGGCATAAATTACATAATAACTAGATGGAGCATTCATTAAGTCAAGGCTTGGATTTTCATAAATGTAAACCATTCCAAAATATTTATATAAATGCGTGTTAAACAGCAGCTGGTATAATGTCTAAACTCACCTGTAGCTCTCAACTTGTCGACAGGAAGAGATAGTAATGAATGAATCTGTTCTAGAACTATATGTCAGTGGACCAGGAAGAAGAAAGCCAGGAAGAAAACGGCCAAACGAGTAGCTTTCTTGTTCAAACAACATCAGCATTCCATCCACAGACTGTACACAGATCAAATCTTGACCTACATAAAAAGAAGCAAAACAAAGCAGTGATCTTCTATTTTAATACCTTTCTCTCTAAAAACTTGCTAAAACTTTATATGATCCTATGAGCATATGCTTCCGTGTTGAAAGCATGCTGTGGAATTATTTATGCATCTCCCAATGAAGATTGATATAACCAATAAATGAAGTTATTTGTCAGATTGTTCAGACTGGAAAATAAGATAAAGGATGAAGAAATGTAAATTGGCCAAATAGTTATGTTATAGTCCTTCACCTTAGATTATGGTATCTCACCAGAAGTTTTTTTAAAAAAACAAAAAATCTGCCAAAATGTCAAGCAATGTTTTCAAAAGCTTGTAGTAATAAATGACTATACTTTGTCCCACAAAGATATACCACTTTCTACAAACTATAGGTAGTCCTCAACTTAAAACTATAATTGAGCTGATGGTCATAAGTCATGACACTTGTGAAACATCATGCAATCAACCCAATTTTACAACTTTTTTGCAGCAGTTGTTAAGCGAATATCATGGTTGTTAAATGGTCGTTAAGCAAATGCCATGGTCGTTAAATGAACACCATGCTCATTAAACAAACCCATTATTCAAGTGGGGCACTTTTGCTAAAAACCAGAAATAAATACCACTTTTTGTCAAAAATGTCATAACCTGTGGTTATATGATTGCAGGATAATGAAAAGTCATAAATGCAGACGAGTTGCCAAGTGCCTGAAATATGATCACATGACCTTGTGACAGATCCAGCATCAGAACCTCTGAACTGAATCATAAATATCCTTTAGCAGGTCCATCATCACTTGAATGGTCACTAAGCAAGGACTACTTCTATATATGCAGTGTAGCTTTTTGCTCAGCCTACAGGTTTCAGAATGGGCTGCTGCAGCCACCCCCATGGTCATTCACCCTTACGGCCGATCAAGGGGCTACTGTAGTATCTCCCCACTCATCCTGTCCTTCCAGGCTTTGAGACGAGCACAATATTCACCCAGAGGAGCTCCGGTCAGTCCATGCAAATTGCAGCTTGCAGGTCCTGAACCTCCTTCAGCCACTCAGCCACCCAGGGTAGACCCAGCTACAGTGTGGATGAAGCAATTGCAGCTTGTAAGTCTTTATCTTTCTTCTCATCCATCCACTCAGGGGAGTTCAGGCCAGCTGCAGTGCTGCAAGAAGCAGCTGCATTTTGCAGGCTTGAGTTTCCTTCCCGTCCTTCCACTCATCCATCCAGGGCAATTCAGGCTGACTGCAATATGGGCAAAATGGCTGCAGCCTGTAATCCTTTTGCCAGCAAGTGCTTGGCAGCTCAACTTACACTGAAGAGGCAGCCTCATGGCAGTATCATTCTATTCTGTAAGCACTATCTTATAGAAGGCTCACTTTTTAAGGAGACTGTTTTATTTTGTTTTTATTTATTTATTTATTTAAAACAGAGCCTCCTTAAAAAAAAAAAAAGAATGTATTGCGACATTTTTTTGTCTTTGTGGAACTGGAGTGGGCATGGCCTGCATGTGACACATCCAGCCTATGGGCTGCCAATTTGACACCCCTGCCCTACAAGATCACAAGAATAACACCTGCTTGTAAATTAGCACAATGCTGCCATGAAGCTGTCTCTGTAGGAAAGCTGAGCCTTGCATCTCATCAGCTGGGTGCCTGTCTCAAAAGCTGCAAAAAAAAAAAAAAAAGTATTTTGAGTATTGCAGGGCCTGAGAGATGGCGGAGGAGCAGGCTGAGTCCTGCAAGTCCCTGGGTAACTGAGTGGCTAGGTGTGAAGAAAGTTCGATGCCTATGCCTATGAGCTATAGTCACTTCCCACATGCTACAGCCAGCCTGAGCTTGGTTGAGTGGATAAGTAACTGAATGGGAAAGAAACTCAAAGCCTGCAAGACCCAGTGGAGGGGAAGTGGAGAGCAAGGTGCCTCAAAGGAAGGAGGGAAGCCTTGTGAAACTCAGGACAGGCAAGTCCGGGTATGATAGGCTTCTGAGGATCTCTCCTACCCTTATGGCATCCCACACTCTGCTTAATGACTACATCAGGGAAAGAAGGTATGAGGGGTCATTAAGCAAGGCAATCACAAATCTCTCTTAAGAGGATCACATGTGACTGTAATGGGCAGGTTCCATTAGGGTCATAACTTGAGGACTACCAGTATCAGTTTCTTCCACAATATTTCCCTAGACATCAAATCAAAAGCTACTTTCAAATCTATAAAGGCAGTACAAAGGCATTTTGATATTAAGAGGAATATTTTTGTGCCAGATGGTTTAAATCATCTGATGAATTGTCTTATCCTAAAATAAGTTTACTTATCAGCCAAGACTTGCTTTTGTTCTCATCAGCAATTGAATATTTAGTGTAAATCAAATTTCCATCAGCTACTTTTCCATTTTCAAAATAAATTGCAAGCTTGAAATAAATACTTGAATTTATATTTCACAAAAAGTTATAAAAGCTATTTCAGAACTGTCATAGAATCATGACTTAAAAAAACAAACATACAAGCTTCTGGTTCCGGATCGTGGCGCTGGCGGGTGTTCAGGGAGAGCGCTCTCTCCGCTGCCCAATTTCCCTTCGTCAGGCGACCCTGAAAAGGGTCGTAAGTCACCTTGGAGGGTGACTTACGACCCTTTTCAGGGTCGCCTGACGAAGGGAAATTGGAGGGGCGACAACTGTGAGGAGGACCCTCGATAGATTGTGGAAGGGCGGCAGTCCTTCCATTTGATCTGAGGCAGCTCCTTTGGACCGTCGGAGGAAAGATCAGCCATCAACTAGGCCGATCACTAAGCCATGTCTACTGAAAGCCAAAATCACCACCAAGCACAACGAAAGCACCGCGGAGGATTTAAGTGAGACCCTTCCTTCCCTTTCTCTTACCCCAACTATCTTCCTGTGAAAGCCTCCTGAAATTTCTTCCCTGCTTCTAATACAGCGGTGTCTATCTACTTTGGGAAATTAAGCTTTGAAAAAAAAAAGAACAATTAATCTAAATAACTAAATAACTGGATCTGTATTTTTGGACACTTCGGGGTCCCAAAAGGTTCCTATTACAGGGATCTATCATTTCATCTATTTGTTAAGTTGGAAATTTTTTTTTAACTGGATAAAAGTTTAACCGTGTCTGGAAAAAGATTTTATAGTCTATCGGGGACATCTTGTGGTGAAGCCTGGTACAGCAACTGAATTTTTTGGGGGGACTGTGAAGCCTGTTTATTCTCTAGAATTGGCCTTCACATTATCTAAAAAAGATAAGAACCTGAAACAGCTGGGTGGTGAAAATAACTTCTAGGAATAGCGGAAGTGGACATTTGTTGACTTTTACTAAACATAGCCTCCACTAAAAGATTGTCTCTAACCACCAGTTAGTCTCTAGCTTGGTTTAGTTTTTTATTTCTAAGTACTTCCTTCTGTTGTAATTATTAAAACAATAAAATTTAAAATGATTTATTCATTATTTCTTCAGTGTTTTTGTTGTACCAGTACCATAACCTGAATATCGCTTGAATGGGAAACTGCAGACATTTATTTAAAAGATTAGTCATCTTCTACCTCATAAACATTTCAAGTAAAAAGTTGAGAGATGAGGAGAAATCTCATTCAAGAAAGAGTGGCATTACCTGTATTGAGTGAAATTCCTTGGAGAAAAAGTTACACAGACATTCTAGATCTCAAAAAAGAGAGAAAGAGAGATCTTCCTATCCATGCAAAATAAAACACTTGTTCCTCTCTGGAATTTAGAATGTTTTATTTCCACAGAACTGTGCTTGCAAAATATCTGTGCCAAAAATTTGATAATCAAAATTTTAAAATGTTTAGCATCTATATCTCTCTGAAATTTGTCAGGCTATTATAAATATTCTGTCTGCAATTTTCATCTATTTAATTAAAAGTTAAGAGAGAGTCCCAAGATAAATAATGAAATGAAAACAACTTTAACTTCCTAAACTTGTATTAGATTTAGCATTTGGGGGGCATTTTTCAAATTGTAAAACTGGCATCTGACTTGATTCTTATGATCTTAGGCCCCTATAAATCCATATTAAAAATTTTTTCATTACCCTTGTTTAAATACAGCAAAGTATTCTTTGTCTCACAACAAAAAAGGAACTGATAATTATTTTCCTCACTACTATCTATTAAAAATTGCCTTACAAAATTGAGGAAACCTAAGCTCACATATATCTTGTTCATGAATTTCCCATTAAAAAGTTACATGGTATCTACCTAGGTAATACTTTCCCTCTAGGTTGAATTACAACAAAGATAAAAAGAAATAAAATATGTTAGCTAAGAAAAGGTAAGGTTTTTAGTACTTTTTTCTCATATAATGATTTTCTTTTGTTCAAAAAATAGAATTGTTTTTAAAAACTTTTGTTTTAACTTTATTAAATCAATGGATTAATATGGAACAGATGGTCAACTCTGGAAGTCATTATATATTTTTCAAATATTCTGTAAATGCCTATTTTATTCTACCAATGCTATTTATATCAGATTTCTTTTAGAAGAATCAAAAATATCATTTACTTAATAAACTAACAAAAAGTCAACTTGTTTCTTTCATTGATACTGATTGTGTAAAGCAGATGGATCAAGTAGCTGTATGCCGTTGGAAAATTAAGAAATAATAAGAATAGACCCTTTCTCCAAACATCCAGTATCTTTGATATGCTATGATTAACATGTATTATAACTGATAATAAAAGATTTCCAATCCCACTTCAGTGATTTTTATTTCATTTTGTTATACCATAATTGTAAATGCATTCTCACATGTACATGGTTTTTACAAATAATTCAGCTGGTATTATGAATTCAACTTATAAATAAAGTTTGTGAATTCATGATCTGCAAATTATCACTATGAACCACTCATCAAGCTGGAATCATTGTTCCAAATATTTTCATTATACTATTCCCTGCACTTGGGGCAATGAAGTTAATTATATTTATTGAATTAATATCTGATTTCAAATACGGAAACAGCTAGCCATAAGAA